GTCAGCTGTTGAACTAATGAATTTTTCAATTCACTTGATCTATAGTTGGTACCAGAGATTTGTTGTGTTCTTTGAATGGGCATGTTTCCCAGTTTTTTTGTATGCTTTGTGATCTTGTCTTGAAAATTGGTGATTTGACAAAACAACTACTTGTCCCAGTCTGTACACTGGCTCTGAAAGAATCTGGGGGAAGATTTTCATTGATAAGCCAGCAGGAAGGCTCAAGATCTTTTGTTCAGGCCTTTTTCTGGGCATTTGTGTTCCCTAGACTTGTGCTTATTTGGTTGTTTGTTGGTTTTTTCCCCTCATTACTTTGTATACATTTAGTTTTAATTAACCTAGGAGTCTCATGCCTGCTTCTTCTAAGAGCCTTAGATGTTGTGTTGTATGCCTCTCCCATAATCTCTTGGCTCCTGGTGTTCACATGACTGCACTCCCCCTGTGGTTTTCAGAAGCTCTAGCTCCTACCACCACCTTTTATGACTGGAACTGATATCCAAAATATGCCACCATTCCTGCCTTTGCTCCAAGTCAGGCAACACAGAAACCCGTTCCTTAGGCAGTGATAGGCCAGGATATTTTAGTGCATTCTGCTTTTTTCCCATTACAGTATATATTCAATATTATTTTGTATTAGTTTCGGATATACATACATTCCTCTCTTTTCTTCCCTCCTAAGTGGTGGGGGACTGAGAATTGGGTCACTTTATCCCATAGCACTAGGGAAGGGATTGTTACAAGCAAGTATGCCACAGTAATTCTACTCTTTGGAGAAGCTTTTTAAAAATATATATATATATATTTTTTTTTTTTTTCAAGAGAGGGAGAAACATTGATTAGTTCAACTTTTTTATGTATTCATTGGTTGATTCTCGCTTGTGTCATGACCTGGGATTGAACCTGCAGCCTTGGCATATCAGGATGACTCTTGAACCAGCTGAGCTACCATGCAGGTGGCTTTTTCTTGATTGGGTGTTCCCTTGATTGCTGCGAATCTCTGTTTTCCAGAGTTCCCCATTTTAGTCAGTCTGTACTTGTTTGCGTAATGTTTTCGCGTGGGAACGGAGCCTGGAGTTTTTAGCCTGCCATCTTTCCGATACCACCTTCATGGGCACTTGAATGCCCTAATTATCCAAAGAAATTTTCGGAATAACATTTTCTTCCATTATTGGTGTACCGTTGTCTGCCTCAACTTCCTGTAATCTTTTGCTCAACGGGTCAACACAGCAAATTCCTTTGCCTTACCATGGTTTGAGGAACCTTCCTGAATGAGTTTTGTTTTCACACAAAATAGACAAGGTATTTCTGGATTGGACAACTCATCCAAATTGGTGCCATGGTTCCAGAAATTATCTAGAAATGAAGTAATGTAAAAATCAACAGTGACAATTAGGACAATGTCTTCAATAGACTGTTTGTCAAGCTATTTACCATCGCGTATACAGTTCTTTTGAGCCAACATACTGTTTTATCACCTCGTCTTAACTTTTTATCCATGAATCCTAGTAGTGTTTATTCTTTATACAATTAAATGTTAGACGACTAGTACGCGGGAATCATTTCTTTTATGAAGGCTTCCTTACCATTCTTCTTGCAGTTCTCCAAAAGAGGTAATTGACTACATTCTCCCCTTCATTCAATGAGTAATTTTTTAGCCAGGCATGCTTTTATGATCTTAAATAAATAATAGTTTTTCTTGAAAACCCAGAGTTCTAAATTAATATATCATTTTTATATACCTGATATCTGTAACCAAACAACCCATCTTGTTGTTGTAACAAGTCATTTTTAAAGAATATAAAATGCGTGCTCGCTTTGGCAGCACATACACTAAAATTAGAACGATACAGAGATGATTAGCGTGGCCCCTGTGCAAGGATGATACGCAAATTTGTGAAGTGTTCCATATTTTTCTTCATCAAAATAAGCTTCTGCACAGCAAAAGAAAACATCAGCAAAATGAAAAGGGAGCCAACCATATGGGAAAATATATTTGCCAGTGATACCTCAGACAGGGGTTTAATTTCCAAAATATAAAAAGAATGTTCACCTACACTCCAGGAAAAAAAACAATCCAATTAAAAAATGGGCAAAGGACATGGACAGACACTTCTCCAAGGAGGACATATTCAGGACCCAGAGATATGTGAAAGGATGCTCAGCATCACTAGCCATCAGAAAAAGGCAAATTAAAACCACAATGAGATACCACTTCACACTGGTCAGAATGGCCATCATAAACAAATCAATAAACAGCAAGTGCTGGCCAGGCTGTGGAGAAAAGGGAACCCTAGTCCACTGTTGGTGGGAGTGCAGACTGGTGCAGCCACTGTGGAAAGCAGTGTGGAATTTCCTCAAAAAGCTAAAAATTGAACTGCCTTTTGACCCAGCGATTCCACTGCTGGGATTATACCCTAAGAATCCTGAAACACCAATTCAGAAGAACCTGTGCATTCCGATGTTCATTAGTAGCACAATTTACAATAGCCAAGTGCTGGAAGCAAATGAGTGGATCAAAAAACTGGTACATTTACACAATGGAATATTACACAGCAGAAAGAAAGAATTCCTACCCTTCATGACAACATGGATGGAACTGGAGAGCATTATGCTAAGTGAAATGAGGCAGAGGGTGAAAGACAAACACCATATGATCTCACCTATAAGTGGAACCTAATCAGCAAAGCAAGCAGGCAAGGAAAATATGACCAGCAACACTGAAAGAAAGAAGAATCTGACAGGGACGGGAGGGTGGTAGCGGAGAGGGAGAGGGGAAGGGTCAGATCAGGGAACAGCTATGAAGGACACATGGACAAAGCCAAGGTTGGGAATGTTGGCGGGGACAGGGGAGAGAGTGGTGGCAGGTAAATGGAGACATGTATTGGGACAATTAAAAAAAATTAATAAAAAGATATAAAATGCATACATAATGCACCTAATGTTTAAGAATATTTGAAACCAATATATATTTTCACTCTTTGCTGAAGAGTTTTGTGTTCATCTTAATGGAAAATAAACGAGGAAAAAGGGGTTGTAACCATTTAAGTTTTGTTCCTCTGGCTGCAGTGTTCTACTATTTAACATGTCCTCAAACAGCCAATACAACTCGGGATCCAAGTGTGATAGATAACTTCTAAAATAAAACTTATTTTCCCATGACAGATAGGAATTAAAAATGCAAAAATTCATGAAACTTTGCAGAAGTCAAAATGAAACAGTGGTGATTCTGTATCTGTGGTTTTTAATCACATTTGTAGATGTTCAGTGAGGTTATACCCCAGTGAGCCCTATGCCATGTGACTTTTTACTCAGTTGGTTTCATGCTAACCCAGGATGGGCTCTGCTTCCTGGAAGGGTGTGTGTACGGTTGGCCTTGTTGCACTGCAGGTGAAATGACAAAATGGAATGTGGGAAGGTGTGTGGGGCTGAAGGTCTAAAGCAGGATAGATGGGCGTCTCTTTCTCAAAAAATTAAGAATTGTCAGTGACAGTCGAAATAAGGTATGGAGCAGGAAGCCAAGTCATTCCTTTCTTTAAGACTAAAAATATTCTCAGATCTTTGGGACTTGAGAAATATGTTCGGCCAAGTACAAGCAGGAAAAACAGCCTGGATGCTCATAATCAGCCCGGACAGGAGGATGAGTAGTGTGCAGTCACACCTACCGCTTGAGCCCCTGCGTGTCCTGCTTAGATTGTCACCCGGTCGGGCCTTCAGTCACACAGCTGTGCTCCTCTTCAAAAACCGTGATACACATTGGTTTTATCCATTTCTAATACAGTGGCTCTCTATTTATACACAACTAATGACATGTATAAAGTATATTTTGAATGCATACTACTTGTCAGGGATTCTCCTTAGGAGCTTGGGATTTGGTAGTAAATCAAACACACACAGTGTCTGCTTTTGTACAGCCTCTCTTCTGGCCAGCTAGGGGAGAAGTGGGAACAGAGGTGGTGAGACAGATGAGGAAATAAATGTTCGGCATTTGAAAATGCAATGGAAAGTTCTGACTGGTATGGCTAAGTGGGATGGACATCATCCCGTGAACCAAGGGGTCACGACCGCTTCAATTCTCTGTTGGCCACATGCCTGGGTTGCTCCCGGGTCCCCAGCTGGGGGCACACGGGAGGCAGCCAATTGATGTTTCTCTCGCACATCAGTGTTTCTATCCCTTTCCTTCTCCCTCCCTTCCCCCTTCTCTAAAAATAAATAAATAAAATGTTTTTAAAAATAAAATCCAGTGAATAAAAAATAAGCAGTGTAAGAGAACAGAAAATGGTCTTTGGGACCACTTTGGTGCTATTTCAGATCGGGCGGTAAGGGCAGGGCCTCTCTGCTGGAGTGTCATCGATCAGAAGCCTGAAGGTCATGACAGAGCAAGCCGTATTGGGTGTATATAGTTCTGCATTTGCAAATATCACAAGTATTTTCTTTTTACTACAAAAATAAATGTTTGTTATAAGAGGTTTAAAAGTGAAGGTGCAAGCCAAAAGAAGAAAAATAAATGTATTAATACCCCCTCCTTTTAGAACTAATGTCATCATTCATATCTTGATATATCTCCTTTTTTAATATTTAATAATTGCCATGGACTTTGTTGCTCTTTCCAGAAGTGCTGGTCATTTGTTTCTCACCTCTATTTTTCACTTGATATTAGCACTGCATCTATTTAAAGTTTATGAACCGGAGCACCATGATTCTGAGGAAATGAGATAAGGGGTAACAGTTCTGACTTCCATAGAATAAGGAGGCTAGAAAAAATTTTTCTGACTTGATTTGATAAAATAACGTTTACATTTTTTAGATTTTTAACCAAGCAATCAGTTTATAGTGGGTAGGAATTTTGGGGGAACTTAAAATGGTATTTGCTTTGTGTTTCTGTTGTTTTTGATTTTAGCTTACTTATTCCTTAGCACTAGGAAAAGATCCTGATGTCATGTGGCGGACTTGTTTCCTTATTTTTTCTGTTACATTCCTCTTACCTTTAACCTTTGTTATAGGCAAAGAAGAGTAAAACCAAAATGCCATCTCTGGTAAAGAAGTGGCAGAGTATCCAGCGTGAGTTAGATGAAGAGGAGAACTCTAGTTCCAGCGAGGAGGACCGGGAATCTACAGCACAGAAACGAATTGAAGAGTGGAAACAGCAGCAGCTGGTCAGGTAAGAGACCACAGATCGGGTGGGCTGTGGTTAATTCATAGATTTATTTATCCATAAACATTATAGCTTAGCCTTTTTCAAAATCAGAATTATTAGAGCTGCAATACTTTCTCCCACCAGTTGCTCATCTTATGCAAAGGACTGTGTTTTAACACTCAGCATAGCAGGAAAAATAATCATCCCCATTTACTTCTAAATCCAATAGACCCTTTTATGTATTTTTTAAAATTTTATTTTACATAAAATTTACAGAAGTAAAAATAAAGGGAAGGGGAGAAAGCAATATATTAAAATTTTTAAGAAGAATTTAAATATAGCTAACCCAAATTTTTTTTATTTTGCTGGTTTTAAAGGTGTATAATTATTGAAATGAGCAACATTAGAAGAATTGTCATGCATAACCTGGACCATATTCACCTCATAAATGATGGTGCCAGATTTCAAATTCATCTCTGATAGGTCTGCTTTATTATTACTTCTGGTTCTTTAACTTGCAGTATCCATAAACACAGTACTTACGAAAACATTTGAGAAAACATATCCATTCTTTGCTTTGTAATCCAAAATATTTTCATTTTTAGATACATAAACACCAGTTGAAATTTTTTGTTTCTAAAATACCTGTTTATCTCCAATCACTACATTCCTGCTTTCAGCATTTGTCCACTTGAGAACCCTATCAAATAAATTTTAGCATGCAGCATCGCAAAACTGGAAAGGTTCCTGTCACATGTCTTTTCAGGAAGATGAACTGGTCTGGGTTCTTGACAATATACTGTGTGATGAAGCTGTTCCTTTTGAATGAGAATACCATATTTCCTTTTTGTCCTTAGAAAATGCTGTTTATTCACCGGTCTTGAATTTGAGAAAATTCACTTAGAATATGGCTTTCTTAACACTCATAATCTGAGATTTTACTTACTTGATCAGTTTTATCATAATTAGAATGTACAATGCTATTCTCTGTCACTTTGTATTCGTTTTATATTTGTAAAAGAAAAAGATGACTATGCAGATGTCGCCTCCAGACTTGATATTTTTACTTTGATATTCTTTGAAAGGTGATACACTATTTTGGGCAACACAGTAAGAAAACTGAGGGCCCTGGCCCGTGTGCCCCAAAGGTCGCCAGTTTGATTCCCAGTCAGGCCACATGCCTGAGTTGCGCACCAGATCCCGGTTAGGGGCATGTGAGAGACAACCAATCAGTGTGTCTCTTGCAGACATCCATGTTTCTCTCCCTCCCGTTCTTCCTCCCATCCCCCCCTCTAAAAGTAAATAAAATCTTTTTTTTTTTAAAAAGAATCGTAACTCCAGGGGGCCAAGAAGAACCAGTAAGAATGTGTTTTATTCTTTTAATGTGTCTTTAATGGTTGCTAAAGATACATAAAAATAGGCACTGATATATACATAAAACTATGTAAAGTGTGTGTGTGTTTTTCGTTGACCCATCAAAAGAAATTTGATAAAGTATTTTCTGGTAATTAGCTGAGAAACTTGAAGCATTTTCATGAGCATAGATGTGATAGATTAGATTTTTCAATTTCAGTTAGGTATTTTTATTTGCTAGGAAATGAACATTTTTATGCTCTCCCCACCCCCCCACCCTCATGAAGTAACCTGTATATTGTTTTCACAGTGGCATGGCAGAGAGAAATGCTAATTTTGAAGCCCTTCCTGAGGATTGGCGAGCAAGACTAAAGCGAAGGAAAATGGCTCCAAACACATAGTTTTTGTTTTGTTTTTAATTTTTGATTGTGTGTGTTCAGAGTCTTAACCTGTTTTACTGTTGTCAATAAACTAAATGTTATGAGGGAGAGCATATGAATTTTCTGGGCAAGGATATACACATACAAAGTTTCACATTTGTGAAATGCAGGTTTTTCTATTTTGCTGAAGGGTGGGGTGACCAAATACTTTGACCTGGCTGCCTTTATGCTCACACTGGCCAACTCAGCATGTTAGGTACATAACCTCATCAGTCTGGAACGCGTGGCTCATGAGGGTGACGCTTCTGTTGAGGACACTGACAGAAAGTGAATGATTTTCCTTCTGAATGGAGGCTCATTAAGCGTCCCAGTGTGGAGCTCTCTCTCATTCTACTCCAGAACAAGTGCAATTAAGAAGGCAGCTCTGTCATCTACCTTGCTGAACTGGGACTGGGAGAACCTCTGACCCCGCTCCGGTCTGCGCCCCTGGAGTGCTAAGGAGCATCAGCTGGTGGTTTCCCTTGTGCTGACAGATGGCCACGCTCTTAAAACTATTGTATCTCACACAGTCTAGAACTGATAGTTGTCATTTCATACACAAGACAAAGTATTTCCATTTCTGTACCGGCCAGCCACACGCGTTCTTGTCTTTGATTTTGAGAATTTCCCCCTTACATCTGTGGCAGTAACTAACCAGAGCCACTGTATACGTTGATGTCTCCGTTGTCTTACCTTATTCCAAAATTCACCTCCCTTTAATGTGTGAACGTATTTTCCATAAAATTCCAGTATTTAAAAAGCAGTTTACTGTTCTGTATTTTCTATTGTACCACAATCAGGTAAAAGTCACTTTAAACCGAAGAAAAGTCAAATTGTGTTTTAAAGCTGTTTGTATTTATCCAGTTTCTGACCTTGTAAATTTGTATATATGCACTAATAAAGCCTTTTTTTTATACTTCTGATTGTCCTTTTGCTCTTGTAAACCTGTTACTCTGTGATTATGTAACCAAGCCTTATTTTAAGTCAGTCTTAAATTTTTTTAAATCTCCACAAGACATTTTTCATTGCTTTTCAAAGAAAAAGGGAGGGAAACACCGACGGGATAGCACCCTTTCAGCAACGCTTGTTCCCTGGAGCTAAGAAACGGCACACAAGTGAGGGTATGGTGAGGGCTGCAGGCTTCGTTTTCCTCAGCCCGGTTGCGACTGATGACCTGGAAGTGGCACCGCGATAGCGGGTGAGAAGGGTGGCTCTGGAACAGCTACCTTCCCCGCCCTGGCCGGTGGCTCCACGGACTGAGCGCCAGCCTGCGATGCCCAGGGTCGCCGGCTGATTCCAGCTCTGGGCACCAGCCTGGGCCGTGGGCCAGGTCCTCCGCTTGGATGCTTGCGAGAGGCAGCCAATCCCGGTTTCTCTCCCTCTAAAAGCGGCTACCTTCCCTTGTGAGGCGGGGCCCCGCTCCGCGGAAGCGTCCAGCGGCCCGCCCTCCCGCTTCCGTTTCGCGGTTGCTATGTTACGCAGCCCCCAGCAGAAGGCGGCGGCGGGTGACCGCGGTTCGCGTGTCCGCCCGGTGCGCAGCGTGGCCTCTGTACCTGCTGTGCCGGGGCCTCTTGCCTCGCTCAGGCGTTCCTGCCGCCGCAGGCGCCGCGCCTCCCCTGCGCCCCCGACGGCGGGAGCGCAGAGGCGGCAGCTCCCCTCTGTCTTCACCCCTAAGAAGTCTTCACCCCGCCCTCCACCGTGCGGGTAACTGCCCTTCACCACCTTCCCCGGGGCCAGGAATCCCTGAACCCCCTGAACGTCATTTTCAGTGCCCGCTCTCTGAGCCGCTGACCTTTCTTTTCCATCTACCCCAAACGAACTCGCCGTATCTCCCCATTACCTTTTATTTCACTTTCTTGCGGCATCCCGGTGGCGGGCATCCTGCTCGGGGAGAGGGAAGCATGGTGCCTGCTAGCGGTCAGGCGCCCCGGGAGAAGGCCGGAACCAAGGTCGCCCTCCCGAATTCCTCAGGTGCGCCTCCATGCGGCAGAGTGCGAACGGCCAGCGGGGGCTTGGAGCGGAGGCCGGGTTGGCAGGGATGAGGGAGCGATGTGACAGGGCGTCCTAACATCGTCCTAACGTCACATGGGAGCTGCGGAGGCAAAGGGTGGGAGTGGTGACTATGGGCAAGTTTTTCAATTGTCCTGGGTTTGGGGGTTTGGTTGGTTGGTTGGTTGGTTGGTTGGTTGGTTTGTTGCTTTAGCTTCTCCTGTGTAATCAGCTGCCCTTTTGAAAATCGGGCAGGGGCTGTGGCTGGATGCCTCTGTGACCCAGGAATCTTCAGTATCCCGTACAGCAGTAACATGTTCCCAGCGCTGGAAACAGACCGAAAGCAGGAGGTGGGTGCGCTCCCCTCTCCCGGAACTCCGCAGAAATCCGGTACAATCGGAAGGGACCTTTTTCTACCTGAAGATCTTGACCCCCAAGACAGAAGGATGTGTGTGGATGTCTTTCACTTGGTTTGTTTACAGAAGTCCTCAGGCATACTCTCCTCTGCAACAATCCTGCGTACCTTTTCTTAAGAGTTCAATATTATTTGAAAGGACTTTTCCTGATTTAAAAGGCCTTTCCTTTCACAGACTCATCCTGATCCCTATGAAGACTTTATGTACCATCACCTCCAGTACTATGGCTACTATAAAGGTAATATTGTCACCGGATGGTGACCAGGCCCAGAGCAGGTAATGTGCGGGTTCTTGACTTCATGCAGGAAAGGTTTCACGGCATGAATCCAGGTGATTTTGAGAGTACACTTAATAAAGCTGGGGCCAGTGAAACAAAGAAAGGGCTTAGGGTAGAGGAAGCAACAGGAAAGAACCTAGGTGGTGCTCTGCTTTGGCTCCCTAGAAACAGGAGGGCTGCTTTGAGCTCACTGGAAAGTCAGAGAAAAAAGGGGCCTTGGAGACAGGATCAGGGGGTGAGCCCGGAATGAGCTGTTGCCGCCCACTGCTCCCCTGGTTGCAAGTCTCTTGGGCACCCTTAGAGTTTAGGAGGAAGTAGAAAGTTCATGCCTGAGAAGGGGCATGGCCATGCTCTCTAGAGCAAGCCCTCACCAGGTCTTTGTCTTGAGGGCTTTTTTTCTTTCTTGGGGGTATGGGGAGAGTCTTAGGGGAGGGTTTCATTGGATATTCATTAGCTTTCCAGATGCGTTTTTAATATGCTGATACATCAAAATGAGTGTAAAGAGGAGCTTGGGATTACTCACGTTGATCTGCTTTATTGTTTTACCTTGGGTCTGTCATACCCTAATTGAATTTTTGTTATTCGTTCCCCTGACCATCCTTTCTTGTGTTTAGCTGGCTTAAACGGTGTCTCCGTCCTCTATCTCCCTGACCAGGGTGATGTAAGCTTTGTATTCTCTGGTTAGGGAGGAGTGATAGAAACCGTTTGCTCTCAGGAGTCCTTAGTTAGGGAAGATGAGGTCTTGTGATTCACTAGTTGGCTGAGAGTTGTGCAAAGTGTTTGGCCTTGTTTAATGATCCTGTCTCAGTTTCCCCATTCCACTTGGCCAGGAATTTTCCCAACTTCTTACTATCCTGCTTCAATATCTTGTTCTTATCTAGCATCACCTTTCCTGGGTTCATGAAATAAATTGTTTCATTAACTGAGAGAGCTACGCTTGGACAAACTAATGAATTTTTCAAGGACCGTTAGTGAAAAATACCTCCTTTCCCCATTGCCTGTCTTCCCTTACACTAATCCCACCCTTTGTTAATTAGTCATTTTTTGCCTTAAAATTTCATTATGCTGGATTGTGACATGAGGCATTATTATTACCTTTTGTTAGCACAGTCTTAATGTCTGGAAAGACACATCTTCTCATCTTGTTCTTCAAAAGTGCCTTGCTTATTCTTGCCTTTTTCTATAATTTTAGAATTGATTTGTGATATTTAAAAAAATTATTGGGATTGCACTGACTCTATAGATTCTAATTTCACAAGAACTGAGAATTTGCTGATACTGGGTTCTCCAATCTATGAAGATAGTCTAATTCCTCATTTACTTAGGTCTTCCTTAATTTCTCCCAATAAAGTTTTATAATTTTTTTATAGAACTTCATATTTTTATGCTATTATAAATTATATCTTTTTTATTCTGATTTTTCTATATTCCTGTTACTTAAAAATGAAGTTTTTATATCGATGTTACTGCTGTCAACCTTGCTAAACTTTCTTATTTACTACTTCCCTTTTTAACTGATTTCTAATTGTTGAAAACTGAATATCCGGTTTGCCAGATTCAGCAGAGCCTTCAGGAAAAAGCAGCCATGGGGCTCAGGGCCACACTCCCACACTGAGGACCAGCCTTCACTGGCAGTGGCTCTCTCGCTGCCCTTCGAGCTCCAGGGTCTTTCTGCCTCCCAAGCCCTTTCCTTTTCCACTATCCATGCTGCTTCTCAAGTCTTCTCCCTACTGTAAAATGGAGAAAATGGTGTTGAACTCAAGTAAATTGGAATGTGAAAGCTCTTTGGAAGATGAGATGTACTCATTGGAAAGGCCCCTTGTAGCGGGGGTTTGGTAGCAGTGGTTCGGTAGGGACCTGGATGTTAGAGGTGGTGAACTAATCTCCCAGCACCTTTAATTAAACTGTCTTTTCTTAGCTCAGAGAGGGAGTTTACCAAACACTGCTACTCACCAGCAAGTTTTTAAGAATAATCCCCGATTCGTCTTGAGTGGCTCTTTTAGGGAAAGAGATGATTTGATTCCAGACCCACTGCAAAAGGAGAAGCTTCTATGTGAGTAATAACCAGTATGTATGACCCCCAGAACCCTCACTGCCTTGAGCAGCTGCTCTAGGTATTCAGAGGAACAGGGCCCACCATAGGAGAAGCCAGAGAAGCAACCTTGCCCACTGTTTCTGACATCACTCAAAAATGTTCCCTCCACCCCTGGCTGGTGTGGCTCAGTTGACTGGAGCATCATTGTGTAACTGAAAGGTTGCAGTTTTGATTCCCCGTCAAGGCCCGGACCTGGGTTGCAGGTTCAGTCCCCAGTCTGGGCACGTACGGGAAGCAGCCAATCGATGCTAATCTCTCCCGTGGATGTTTCTCTCTCTCTCTCTCTCTCTCTCTCTCTCTCTCTCTCTCTCATTCTCCCTTCCTCTCCTTCCAAAAAGCAGTGAAGATACATCCTTGGGTGAGGATTTAAAAAAAAAAAAAAGTTCTCTCTAAATCTACTTTGGACTGCAGGTTTAAATTAAAATACTTTACATTCTGGGTTATCTTCTTCAGTTGTTGGCAAATTTGTTAAGACTCTGCTCAAGAGTAGAACGTTGGCTTTTCTTTTTAAGATTTTATTTATTTTTAGAGAGGAGGAAAGGGAGAGGACATCGTGAGAGCAACACAGGCATATGCCCTGACCAGGAATTAAACCAGCGACCTTTCGTTTTGCAGAAAGAGGCCCAACCCACTGAGCCATAGTGGTCAGCACTAAAACATTGACTTTTCACACAGTTTTGTGGGGTATGTTTGTTAAGGCTCTTTGCATAATAGTGTTGGAAACTAGCTTAAGCAAAAAGTAATTTTCTACGGCTATTCCACAGGTTTATTCTAGAATCCAAGGCAGGAATTCTGCTGAATTTCTCCCTCAATACGTATTCAACCAAACATCAATTCACTTCTCTCTACTCCACATCCTCCTTGTCCTCAGCCCAAGCTGCCGCCATTCTCACTATTGAAACAGCTTCATAACTGGTCTCCTGGCTGCTTCTCCTGTTCCCCGATGCACCTTTCCAATGCATTCTGCACACTGAAGTGTTCTTTTTTATTTGCAAATCTGACCGTATCCCTTTTCTAGTTAAAATCTTTTAATAACACAAGACCCAAAGCCATAAACTAAAACCTTGATAATTTTTACAAAAAGTTAAACTTCTGTGTCGAAAAAAGTACCAACAATAAAGGAAAATCACAAAATGAAAAAATATATATATTCGTGAGAAATACATCAAAGGATTTTTTTTTTTACAAAACTGCTCTTACAAATCAGTATGTAAAAGATGACCTAAACAGAAAAGTAGGCACACAGTTTCCAGAAAAACAAACAGATGGTCATAAGCTTTATGAAAAGATGCTAATTTTTAAAGATAAAAATCAAAATGTCAAGGTGCCACTTTTTAAATATGAGATTTGGGCAAAAAATTCTAATTATACCTAGTATATATTGGCATGGGTGGGGACACTCTCCTACACTGCTGGTAGGAACGTGGATAGGGAGACTCTTAGGGAGACTCTCTTAGGAAGACAATTTGGCAGTACCTGGGAAATAGGACTTAACCCCTGGATGTGGCGATTCCATTTCCAGATATGTCTCTTACGTGTTTGCTCACCTCAGGGCCGGGAAGGCTCTTGCATTCTCTGTCCCAGGGCTCCTGGCAGGGAGAGGACAAGGGTTGAACAAAAGGGCCTGGTCCCGGGCAGGAGAGCTCAGGCTCCACCTCACCGCTCTCCCTCTTTTCTCCCGCCCTATTTGTTGACACTCACAATAATGTTCATAAGAAACAATCACCAGTTTAATATAATAAAAAACAAAGTGCCAAAATGAGCTGGTGGAAGTAACACAACAATGTGAATCAGTTTTAAAGTGGAAATGGTCACCTGACACCTTTTTTCCCCTGTTTTGATTATTGGAGTGAGGAAGATAGTTTTTTTTTTTTTTCTTTCTTTGTAGCAAAGCATTTATTCTTTTTTTTTTTTTTTAACCAAAAGAGTACAAAGGTAAAAAGGAAAGTTATATTTAAATGGTAGAAAAAAGCACAAAAGGAAAACTAAAAACCCTCCCTACTCAACAACCCTCAATATAGGCACTGCTGTTATCATTCTTTTTGGGGGGGGAAAAAATCCTTATGTGCCTCTATTTTTTCTTTTTAATTGCTCACAATTAAACTGTTTTTTCATTTTGATTTTCCTTTTTCATAATAGAACCTTTCTATGAGCACAAAAAAAAAAAAACCCTGCCTCATTCTTTTTTATGGCACCTACAATTCTATCTCATTAATATGTCATATTATTTTAACTTCCCTTATGATAGGTGCTTTGGCTTCCATGTTTTGTTATCTGAACATTGCTGCAGTTAGCATCTTTATATATGTATCCTGACAAACTTTTATAAGAAAATCTATAAGGTAAATGCTTAGCGGGATTCCTGGCTCAAGAGTTATGTGAAAATTTAAATCATACTAGGTACTGCCACACTGCTTCCCACAGTGGCTGCACCAATTTGCCTTCTTACCATCAGGGTCTGGGTGTACCTGCTTCCTTACACCTTTGCCAGGATGAGTGTGAAAACTCATAAATGTTTTCCCTATTAGGTAAAAAAGTGGCACCTCATCATTTTGATTTACTTTTTTTTTTTTTTTTGAGATTTTATTTATTTTTAGAGCGAAGGGAAGGGAGGGAGAAAGAGAGGGAGAGAAACATCAGTGTGTGGTTGCTTCTCACGCACCCCCTCCTGGGGACCTGACCCACAACCCAGGCATGTGCCCTGCCTGGGAATCAAACCAGCGACCGTTTGGTTCACAGGCCGGCACTCAGTCCCCTGAGCCACACCAGCCGGGACTGATGTACATTTCTTTCTGAGTGAGATTGAAGCGCTTTAACACATTTTTCAATGTTTGTGGCCACCCCCAATTAAACACCGGAGAAAAGATTTAGAGATAGAAATACTAGGGTCCAAAGCGGGTGTGGGAGTGGAAAGGGATAGGGGAAAGGCGGCAGAGGAAGGAAAGGCGAGGAGCCCTAAGACACGGCCGCCTTCTTCCCCCTCTTCCTAGGGCCGGCCTGCCTCCCGTCAGCTGTGCACGGACAGACGGAAGCGGGGAGCCGAGGTGCGTCACGCCCCTCCGGGCGGGAAGCTCAGCCGCCTCTGCGGGAGCCTGTCTTCACCCCCTCCCTGCTCCGCGCCCCGGCGCTGGGGGCTGCCACACAAGGGGCCTTCAGGCGTTCCTTCCCCTGTCAGTTTCGTTCTTGTCATTCTTCCTCTCATTTCCTCTCTCCCTGAGCATCCTTTCCTCCCTCTTTTCTCGTTCTCTGTTTCCCAGGAGCTCTTTTTCTCTCTCTCCTGACGGTTCACACCACTCTCCCCCTTCCCGTATCATTCTGTTGTGGAAGTCTCTCTGCCCTTTGAATGATTATGTTAGGAACTTGCAATTTAATTTTCAGAATGTTTTAAATAAAGTTTTATGTGAAATACTAATTGGTGAAATGAAAGGTCCCTCTCTTGCTTCACTCTAAACAAAAGTAATAAAACACATTAAGTAACTTTTTATTCATTTGCGACCCATTGTTGAAATGTCTTAGACTCATTAGCTCTGATTTAAAAAATAATAATAACAATAAGTTTCTTCTCACTTACTCTTAAAGATCTATATTTAAATATTTAATAGACTGTGCAGAATTTTAATTTAATTTTTATAATTTCTATGCTGTCATCCTCGAATAAATCTCCTGGAAAGAGAAACGTGTCATAGGATTGCACATCTGTACCCATATTTGAATACAGTGCTTCAAGTTACTTAGCTGTTATAGTTGGGCAGTGAAGTTCCCAAGGAGGAGAAGGCACCTGTTCATTCATTCCCTTGCCTTTGGCAGATTCCTTCATGCTGAGTTCACCACTTCTCAAGAGCAGACAGCTCCTTCATGATGAGTTTGGGGACACAAACCCACGCCTCCGGGAACCCCGAGATCTCTTTGCCTTTTTCTCTGACAGCGGGCCAATGCAGGCTCCAAGATGGCCAGTGGAATGTGAGGTCATCAAGGAAAACATCCATCATATTGGTAATGTGGCTTCTGTGTCGTGGTCTTGCTGTTCTGACAGGCTTCATTACGAGACCTCACAGTTTTAAGTCTTGTGTCCTGATGTACAGGGCAGAACAGGTTCAACATCTGTCATCTGGCCCCAAAATTATCAAACTCTGGGAGATCGATACACACTCACCAAAGTCAAAAGTTAACACTAATGTGTAAACTAGAATGTTTCTGAGTTTCCTGGATGGAGGAATACCTGCTAGAGGCCAAAATATTCACCCTTAAGTCTTTTGTGTGGATTATTCCCATCTCAGTATTAATATGCTTAGTTGAGTTTTATAAAAGTTGTATTTTTACCAGCCTTGGTATAGTTGGTACACACCATATATGCCAGAGCATCATTTTTACTGTTTTTAATTGTATTTTGATTTTATTGGAGTTTTGGGGGGGAATGGTGGAGGCATTTTTTTCTGACATTGCTGGCCATGCCTTTGAGATATTGGTGCAGGTATAATCTTCAACGCTTCTTTCATGAAGCATTTTCAGAGGCGGGTTGCATTGAAAAGTGAGGTCTTCTCTAATTGCTGGGACACTTAGGTCTAGCAATCATGTCTCTGCTTTAGACTGCTGGATAAACAGCTGGATTTTTTTTTATTTTCTCACTTCCCTCATACCATATTCATTCAGTAAATATTAAGCATCTACCACATGCTAAGTACAGTGCTTAGTGTTAGAGATAGAGGGATAAACAAGATGGAGACACCCAGAGCACTCACACTAGAGAAGAAGTGAAGGATAATAACCAGGCAGTTGCGTAGAGCATGGTCCCTTTGGGAACACTTAACCCAGACTGGAAGATCAGTGAGGGGTTCCTGAAGGAGCTGAAATATAAGCTGAGATCTGAAGGAGGAGTTAGAACTGGTCCAGCTGAGAGAGGATCAAAGAAAAGGATTCCTGTTAAACAGAAGAAGAGCACGTTGTGTTTGGGCAACCATGGAGCATCGAGCATGGAAGACGAGAGAGGAAGTGGAATGTAGGGATGAGCTTAGTGTCTTAACTGGGGGCAGAACTGCTCTTCGGGTGTTTGGAAATGTGTGGAGAGAGGGGACATTTTGAGTTGGCACAATACCTGAGGAGTCCTAATATCTGTCCCTGTCCTGTATACTTTTTAGGTAATAGTCCAAGTTGATCTGGCCAGACAGCAGGATTATGTGGTTCTCTATATAAAATAGACTAAGATAGAGAATTCCTGTGAGGATTTTGGACTCAGTTCCAAGAGGAAAATAAAAAGTGGGAAACTGGAATTTAGTATCCAAGTTATTGCAGTGGTAATCCATTAAACCACTAAATCTTTTTTTTAAAGCAATGTTTACGCAATTTCAAGGAAATTTGATAGCAGGCACTTTACTGTTTAAAATGAATTGTCAAAGCCTCGTCACTCCCCATCACTTTAAAAGAAAGTAGCATTGTCTGTTACCGAGTTGTATCTTTATATGCCCTTGGCTTTTATCAGTGGCCCCTGTACTTAAAATTATACTGAAAATTTGCCCTAGCTCCATGTGAGAAATCTCATAGAATTGAGATGTTAATGAAAAAGGCTTGTTTCCTCTGAAACAATTGATATCCTTGCCCCTCTATGGTAATAAAATGTATGTAGCTGATCATATTTTCCTGATTTTAAAAGGAAGCTAGAGACCAAATTTTGAAGAGTTGTTGCAGCAACTGTATTCACCTTTCCAGCTTACTTTTAAGTCTTCTATTTTAAGTGTATGTTTTTTATTGAAAAACTCCTCATAGTCTTATGGAAAGAAACAAGACAACTCGTAAACAAAGTAGAAGCTTAGGTTCTGATAAAGTGCTTTTTATACTGTTTCTTATTTTGCACTTTTTAAATGTCTTCTTTCAGAGGGAGTTCCACCTGAACCAGAATATTTTTATCAACCTACAGGAAACGAAAAGGTGCCAGAAATTGTAGGAGAGGAAAAAGGCACAGTTGTCTACCAGTTAGATTCAGGTATTGTCATTGCACCAAAGAGTGAGTAGTTAATCATGACAAGGTTATAAATATTTTTTATAATCATGATTTTTAAAAATTCATAGTTCTGTGATAAATTGTCTTTTCCAAACCAACCTGAATGGGAACCTGGCTATTCACGATCAATCAGCTTTAAAATTGCAATCTTTTTTTTTTTTAAATGACAGTACCCTTTTCCTTAATAGTTCCAAGTTACTTTTATAGCGTCTCCCTTGTTATTCCTTTTCCTGAAATTCAGATGTTGGATCTTTCGGGGACTTGTTCCTCTTTTCTCCACCTCCTATATATACTTTGGTGTGTACTTTTATAGTATGTGCACATGACTGTCATTTACTGTGTGGCTTCCTTCCTTAAGTTGCATCTTCCTAGGGGAAGACTCCATGTCTTTTATAAAAGTGTGCAGAACATTGTACCCAACAGGAGCAACAACACAACGCATTCTTTTCAAAGGCACATGGTAGATTCCCCAGTATATATAATATGCTAGGTTGTAAAGCAAGTCTTAATGCCTATTATTTAAAAGGATTGAAAATGGTACAAAATGTATTCTCTGACCACAACAGAATTAAATTAGAAATCAACAACAGAATGACATTTGGGAAATCTATAGATATTTAGAAATTGAGCAACATATTTCTAAGTAACCCATAGGGTTAAAGATATCCCAAGGGGAGTTAAAAAATATTTTGTAGTGAAATAAAACAACATATCAGAATTTGTGTGATGCAGCTGAAAGCACTGCAAGGTAAATTTATGGCTTTAAATGCATGTATTTGAAAGGAAGAGGAAGAGCCCAAAAGGGATTGTGGGAGAACGTCTCTTCCTTTCTTTCTTTCTAGCCCCAGCCATCAGGTAGGCCAGGATGGGCGCCTAGGGGTCCATCCAGGAGCTGTGGAAGAAAGGGCAGTCAGATGAAATGCGCTTCCTTCCCAGGGCGTGCGGCTGGCGGTACTGCCTGCTCTCTTCTCTACAGGGTCCCCTGCCCCACCTGGCCCAATAAAGTACAGCAGACTGGGATACACAGTCAAGCAAGGTTATGTCATACTCCTATGCTGGATTCGTGTGCACCGTGGCGGCCACAAAGGCCCAGTGTTTAGAAGGGTGCAGCCCATGGCAAGCCTGCCCGTCCCGGTGGTAACCAGCTGACGTTTGCTCGGAGCCTCCAGTCTGTTGCCAGGGGGTGAGCTGGATGGGACTGTGGGACTCGAGAGTCCTGAACTCGTACTGGGTTGGGGAAGCTTCCACGTACAGATTCTTTGAGGTTATCCTCATTGATCCATTCCGTCAGGAACCCTGACACCCAGTGTGGGCCGGATCACCAGACCCGACCACGAGTGCAGGGGGATGCGAGGGCTGACACCTGCAGGCAGCAAGAGCCTGGCCTGAGAGAGAGCCACTGTCCCGCCACGCTGCTGGCGCCCCTCCCATGCAGCTGGGAGAAGGCTCGGTGCTCTCCAGCCCCGCTGGCACCGCTAATAGAAGTAATGTTTGTAAAACTCTTACCTAATAAACAGTTTAGGACAGTCAAAAAAAGTGGGGGAAGGGGGGAGATCTGAAACCAGTTACCCTAAGCTTCAACCTTACTAAATTTGAAAAATCAGAGCAAAATAAATCCAAAGCAAGCAGAAGGAAGGAAATCATGAAGAGAATAATGAAATCAGTAAAATAGAAATCGGAAAAATAGTAGGGAAAATCAAAACACAAGTGGGATCATTGGAAAGATAAACAAAATTGACAGACTTTGGCCAACCAAACCAAGAAAAAAGAGAAGGCACAAGTCACCAAAATCAGCAGTGAAAGGAAACATAAACATCAACTCTACGGAAGTCAAAAGAGTTACAAGGTAATGCTAGCAACAACTTCATGCCAACAGATTAGATAATATAGATGAACAGGAACAATTGCTAGAAAGGCACAAATTACCAAAACTGACCCAGGAAGAAATTCGAAGTCTGAATAGGTTATAACAAAGAAATTGAATTAGTAATTTAAAATGTTCCCACAAAGAAACCCCGGACAGACGTAGGTAGCTTGGCAGGGTTTGTTTGAACCGTGTGAAACATTTAATGATGAAATAGTACTAATTCCTTATAAATTCTGAAAACAGAGGAGAAGGAGGGAATGTTTACCAACTCTCTTTGGTGAAGCCAGTATTGTCCTGGTACTAAAGCCAGACAAAGACATCACAAGAAAACTACAGATCAATATTCCTCATGAATATAAATGCAAAAACTATCAACAAAATACCAGCAAAACAAATCCAACAACGTATTAAAAGGACCGTACACCACGACCGAGGCATCCGTCCCAGGAGTACAAGCGTGGATCACCATGGGAAAGTCAGTAGAACCACATTAGCAGAACAAAGCAGGGGAAAAAACAACCATTTAAGGATAGAAAAAGCATTTGACAAAATCCGGCCCTTTGTGATAAGAAAATTCAGAAAACTAGAAATTGAAGAGAATTCTCTCAACTCAATAAAGGGTATTTATGGAAAAAATGGATAACTTCACACCCAGTAAATAGCTATAATAAAAATATAGACATAATTGCTGGGGTGCATATGGAGCAGGTGGTAATACTAACATTTAAGACAGAAAGGAAAGGGAATTAAATTTTGAATTAATAATGTCAGGATGCCAATTTAGTCATAGGGAGGGACCCGCGGGGGTAAGGGATCTGATGACAAGGGCATGCTCTGTCACTGCCAGAAATACATCTGATGCTCGTTGCATGCACAGGTACCAGAGCGCATTAGAACCTCTTAAAAGGACTTCTCTGTGGTTGGAGAAATGCTATGTTCAAGAAATAGAAAGTAAGAAAATATTCTCATAATTTGAAAGTCATCTCTGCTAGGTAATTATCAGAGCGGAAATCTGTCTTATTGGAAGAGGAATGTGTACTACGTTTAGTCAGTAGAAATAGAACATGTTAAAGAAGTGACGTAAGGGGAGGGTTTTGGAGAAACAACGAGAAATAGAAGGGAGGGTCCGCACTGTGTTGACCTTCCTATAACTAGAATAAAATGAGCCAGTTATTCCAGAGGGCCCAGCTGCAACGTAATTGCTCTGCTCCCAGTTGCCTTGATTATGAGCTCTCCTCCTGTTAGTACGGTGGAAAAAGCTACCGTATTTTGTCATGTATAATTCATACCTTTTTGCCCAAATTTTTTAGGGAAAAATAAGGATGCACATTATCCATGGGTAGTACCTGAAATACCTGTATCTGTTCTTGTGTTTTGTAATTATTTGTTACATAAAATTTCTTACACCATGTGTTCAAAAACAAATGCTAAAATTCCTTTTAATACGAAAAACATGTATGTATGTATGTATGTATGTATAAATAAATAAATAATTGGATTGAAAAATTATAATGAAAGATTTTTTTTCCTGAAAGGCTGGGCAAAAAACATGGGTGTGCATCACTCATGGTAAAAAACGGAATATACAGTGAAGTGAATAAGGTGGAGCAACTCGCAATCTGCCTGGCTTCACCTTGTGGAATGTGAGGAGTTTGGGAGGCATTAAAAAAGATCGTAAGTTGGTAGACTTGGATTATAAATAATAGAGAAAGCAATGCTTCTACAACCTTAAGCGATTCTTAGGATTATAAGGCCATTTTACAGGATTGGAGTCATTTTCAGTAAACCAGATGACCATAAATCCTCATGGATTCATCTGTTGTAGTCAGAGGTATTCCTGCCTGGCTTACCCAGGAGGGGACCCTGGGGCAGAGAGCGCCTTCTCCTGATATGGCAGCTTTTGTGAATCATCCTCACTGCCTTGTTAACACACAATTGTGGCAGTTGCCTTGATCTTGTCTTTTAGATTCATCCAGGAGAGCTGAGCCTACCTAATTGGAGGAACAAACAGAAAACCGAGAAGATGGGGCTCCGGAGGGATTTGGGGAGTTTGTCAGTTTAGGGATCCCACGGCAACTACATGCTATGAGAATATTGGCATAGGGGGAGAAAATTGTTTTGTTTTGTTTTTTGAGAAATGTTACTGTGGGCTATGGATTGGATCTTTAATGCTACCTAAGAGACTCAAGAAAACACTGAAATTTCCATATTAAAGGCATCAGCTTGCTGGTCTGTACTCTGACTAGTGTCATGGAGAGACTGAACCACGGGGGCCCCAGCCTGTGCTGGGATCACATGTGCTCTTGGCCACTGCTCCGGCTCCTGCCTCTGCGCCCATTTTCCTTCACTCACTTCTTTACATGATCCATTTGTCCTTTGCTCTCATTTATTACCCAAGTGTTTATTATAAAGTCTCCACACCAACGCACGGTGCTGTAGGAGCAAAAGTCATGATAGTATTACTATTTTTACTAATGAACTGGCTACTTGTACAGTCAGGCCCCATGCATATTACTGTTTGTTTAATGGTCAGCATCTTTGTTGATGTCAATCACTCGCTGATTGGTAGATATTGTTAACATCTGATAATATAATGCAAATAAAGTAAAAAAAAATTGCAAAGTGAAATTATGGTTCTTAACAAGAGATGCTGGATTTTATGAAGTTGGTGAATGTTACAGAATTGCTTGAATCACTTGCAAAGCCACTGACAAATGAGAACCTAGACATTTTTTATCAGTTAACAGTTAAAGAGAAAATCAACAAAAGATGACTAAAGTAGGTTCTTTTAGACACAACGATGAGAATATTGTGGTACAGACAGAAGTCCTTGGGAAAGTATGAAGCCTTAAAAAAAGTTTTGCAAAAGTATCTGCAAAAATCAAAGGTATTATTTGGCACTCTTACTGAATTTGTCTGAAAAGTTGCAATCCCACTAAAAAAGATATTAACAATTGATTATTATTCCAAGTATTAGAGGTTGTGGTTGTAATCTAAATTTTGTTAAATTAGATAAAATAAAGTTCATAATTTTTTTGTTTCAGCTTCATTTTAAAGTTAAAATTTTACAGGGGGAATAGGCAGAGCAGGGGAGAGCCATGGGGGAAAAGGAGACAACTGTAATTGAGCCACAATTAAAAAAAATTAAAAAATAAAGTTAAAATTTTAATTGTAAAGTTTTTACTAATAACTATGACATTTTGGTTCCTTACTTAGGGAAATTCACCCATGCCAATTCTCAAATTTCTATTTTTGTTATATTTAAATCTGGAAGGATATAGCAAAAAATTTTATGGAGTCTACTGTGTTCTCTTTTTTGTTTTCCCTTCATCTTTTTAAAGTTAATAAATAGGTGCTATCTGTTGTGTGTTCTTAAATAAGGTTGCAAATGTTTTCAGATGCTCTATTTAGAACATTGCCTTTTGCCAACATCCTTTTAAATTAGGGTTAAAATGGGTACAAGCAGTATCTCGGATGACAAGGGTATCCTGAAGGAAAAGGAAGTGCTCTAAACAGGACTTCAAAGAAATACACTTTAAAATTAAAAGTCTCAGCAAGGACAGTTGAAAATTTGGATATTCATTGTTAACCTAGAACAGCCTGCTGGACACATACAGGGGCACAAAGCATATTGCTGGAGGAGTGGACTCTGAGAGGGATGGGGCCTAAGTGTGTGTGTCCCATCTGCAGCGCCCACCAAAGGTTCCTGCTTCACCAGTTCCAGAGTGGGAGGCAGACGAGGAATTATCAGGGAACTCGCCGTCACGTTGCAGGGACCAGAAGATAACACTCTCCTGTTTGAATCCAGGTTTGAGAGTGGGAATCTGCAGAAAGCTGTCAGAGTGTGAGTAACAAAGAGGGTTTTCCCAAAGGGATGGTGACCGAGAAGAGTCCTAAAGAATCATATTAGGAGTCAGGAATGTTCTTGAAAGAGAGGTCATAGGAAATGGTTATGAGGATGATAAAAAAAAAATGGAATAATTCTACCTCATATTTTCTCCCAGAATAAAAATTTATCTAAATTGTTTTTTCTGCTCATAAAAGAAATTAGTGCTCTTTTGAAATTTGTATTAATAAAAATACATAACATAAAATTTTGCCCTGGCTGGTGTGGCTCAGTGGACAGAGTGCTGGCCTGTGGACCAAATGGTTGCCAGTTCAATTCCCAGTCAGGGCACATGCCTGGGTTGTGGGCCAGGTCCCCTGTTGTGGGTGTGAGAGAGGCATCTGATCACTATTTCTCTCACACATCATGTTTCTTTCCCTCTCTTATCTCCCTCCTTTCCCCTCTCTCTAAAAATAAATAAATAAAATCTTTTTTAAAATTAAAAAAAAAAAATTTGAGTCCTATAATCATGCCTCCCAGGTGCAGCAATTGATAACAGTTTGATGTATACTCATATGTATTAATTTTTTCTCTCTATGTATATGTAATGTACACATATTTTATATATTTTTAAAAATAGGATAATGCTGTACATACTGTTTTGCAAACTGTTTTTTCCACTTAATACATTTTAGATGTTTTTCTATGGCAATACTGCAGTTAAATCTCCTTAATTTTAGGAGGATAATTTTATATTTTTAATTGTATGTTTTTTATTATTAAAATTAATCTTAATTTTATATTTTTCTATTATATAGATATTCCATACATTATTTACTTGTTTCCTGACTGATGAGAAATTAAGATATTTACAACTTTTTGTTAAACAAATGAACATAATTAACACCCTTGTGCATGTATATTTTTGTGGAATAAATTCTGATATAAAATGGGTGGGTCGAAGAGTTTGAACACTAGGTATTGCTAGTGTTTGCCACATTGCCCTGTGGTGTGATTTCAGTTCCCATCAACAGTGTGGGAGAGTGCCTGTTTGCCAGTGTTGAAATGCTGATGAGATGGAGGAAAAAACAACATCCTGTTTTAATCTGCATTTCTTTAATGATGCATGTGGATGAGTATCTTTTCATGTTTTTGCCATTTTTGTTTCCTCTCCTGAACGTTAGTCCTGTTTCTTTTCAACAAGGTACATGCATTCCAGCAAAGCCCCTTAGTCTTCAATCGATGATCAGAGATAAAAATAGCACAAACTGGAGATGTCCAGGATGTCGCTAGCAGCCAACAGAGGGCTCCAGCTTCACTGCCTTTCAGTGTGTTTCAGAGAAATGGATTGCAGTGGTTAGAACTGCTGCTGGGTGTTCTTTCTAGAAAGACACCAAGAAGCTCAGAGCTCCCAGAGTCCTGTGCAACAGTGTGAATGTTGAGACTCTTCTGTCCTGCCCCAAATACACTTTCTTTCTCCAAGTTCCTGTAGCCTACTATATGAGTCAGAGAACTGGGTAAATTAGAAAATAAGTGTTTGATGTAGCAGGATTTCTGCTGTGATAGGATCTGTTTTTAACAAGGAGAAACAGTATTTTGAGGGAGGTGTTACAGAGATATCCTGTATTCTTCGTTACAGAGACACCTACGAATATGAACTGACCTTGCGCACTGATCTCTACACAAACAAACACACTCAGTGGTTTTATTTTCGAGTTCAGAACACCAGGAAAGATGCCACCTATCGCTTCACCATTGTCAACTTGCTAAAACCCAAGAGCCTTTATACTATAGGGATGAAGCCGCTTATGTACTCCCAAGTGGATGCCGACACCTACAACATTGGCTGGAGAAGAGAAGGAAATGAGATCAAGTACTACAAGAAAAACACGGGTGATGGGCAGCAGCCCTTTTACTGCCTGACATGGACCATTCAGTTCCCACATGACCAGGACACTTGCTTCTTTGCGCACTTCTACCCCTATACATACACTGATTTGCAGTACTACCTCCTGTCGGTGGCAAACAACCCCATCCAGTCTCAGTTCTGCAAACTCCGAACTTTATGCAGGAGTCTGGCAGGAAACACCGTCTACCTGCTCACCATCACCAACCCATCCCGGACCCCTCAAGAGGCGTCTGCGAAGAAAGCCGTGGTCTTGAGCGCGAGGGTCCACCCCGGGGAAAGCAATGGCTCCTGGATCATGAAAGGATTTCTGGACTTCATTCTTAGCAACTGCCCAGATGCTCACCTCCTCAGAGATATCTTTATCTTCAAAGTGGTTCCCATGTTAAACCCAGATGGAGTGATTGTGGGCAATTACCGGTGCTCGTTGGCCGGAAGAGACCTGAACAGGCATTATAAAACCATTCTGAAAGAGTCTTTCCCTTGCATCTGGTACACCAGGAACATGATCAAGAGGTGAGAGCCCCCCTTATCTGTCCATCTTTCTCTGATTAGTGGGAGTACTATCTAATGGCAGCAGGGGCGTGAGGTCCCTTCTAATGTTGTAGAAAGTGGAAATGGCTTTGTAGACGGAGTCTTGACCATTCTCTTTGTAGTCACGTGGGTTTGTTCATTTTCCAACTTTTAAGTCAGGCCTTAACTTTGGGTTGAAACGGAACATGCAATATTTTAGCTAGAGGTATTTCACTTAGAAGTGAAATGATTGGAAAAGGTCAGAGGTCAGAGGAGTTCATAGGTCTTCATGATGAGACCTGTGTAATAATAGTATCTAACAATTAGTACTTTTGTATGAGGTGACAGGCAGTATTAACAGTGCTTTATACTTATGTCCCATTTAATCTTCACATTAACCCCCACAGGTAAGCACAATCAATATCCCCATTTTTTATATGATGAGGAAATTAAAGCCCAGAAAGGTTAAGTAACTTGCCCAAGGCCTAGCATAGTAAGTGACTGAGTAGATATTTAAACATAGGCTCTCTGGTTCCAGAGTCTGCTTTTTGTTGTTGTTGTTGTTGTTGTTGTTGAATTGATTTGAAAGAGAGAGAAACACTGATTTCTTGTTCCACTTATTTATGAATTCCTTGGTTGATTCTTGTATGTGCCCTGACCGGGGATCAAACCCACAACCTTGCCGTACTGGGACAATGCTCTAACCAACTAAGCTACCTGGCCAGGGCAGGAGTCTGAGTTTCTTATTACCATATTTTATTGCCTGTCATGAAGAAGGAATAATAAATTGGTTAGCATTTTTCAGGCCTGTGTAAAAGCAGTTGAAGGCTATGATATAATAGTCCCTAGCTTAAAGGAGCTTCCATTTCTTTGGAAATGAAACTCCAGCAGATAAGAATATGTGAATGCACACACTTTCTAACCATATCTGTGTGAAAGGGCGGAGTAGTGTTGGGCTGGTAGCAAAATGGTTAAGGTCATGTTTGGGAGTCAGACAAGCCTGGTTTGGAGACCTGGTTCAGTTATTGGCTGATTCTGTGACCTTGGAAACAACCTAACCTCGATGCCTCAGCTTTCTCATCTGTAGAATGGGGATAATAACTCCTGCTTGGGTGGTTACTGTGAGGATTAAATGAGAAAATCCATGTAATCTGTTTAGCGTAGTAGCCAGCACACTATTCAGGTGTGGCGTATCGTTATCATACTCTTCATCCTCTCATCGCTGTGGGGAAGGTGACCTCGTCTGGAAGATTGCACAGGCATCCTGGGTGATCAGGGAGCCAAGATCCGAGCCTTATAGGAGCCAGCCCCGGAGAGTGAGGAACCGAAGCTTTCTTTGGTCTGTCTTTTTATCCCTGCAATTACGACCTCTCTGCGTCTGCCTCTCTTTCCACAGGCCCGCATCTGGTGGAGTTTCTTTCAATAGATTTTCTCCACTTCCTTGTCAGCTTATACGAGCCCTACCCCCCACCCCTTTCCACACTGGACTTTTCCATCTCAAGTCCCTCTGACTGGCCGAGGCAAAGGGTACTGGTGACACGTTTACAGCAGTGGCTGAGGACGGAGATAGGGACCTTTGAAGGCCATTAGGGGCTGAAATTTTCCTAGAAGGGAAGGGTACCAACAAACATACTTAAAGAAGAGACTCCAAAAAATCCTGATTATTTGCATGTATTTGGATGTCCACTGAGTCCTTTGTTTGCCCCCTCAATAGACTTCTTGAAGAAAGGGAGGTTCTCATGTACTGTGATTTCCATGGCCACAGCCGTAAGAATAATATCTTCCTGTATGGCTGCAACAGCAACGATCCCAAGTCCTGGCTTCATGAGCGAGTCTTCCCATTAATGTTAAGCAAAAATGCACCAGAAAAGGTAAGCATGTTAGGTCATTTTCTGCCCATTGACTAAGGGGGAGGGGAGCTTTCTGTTTCTTATATGTCATGTTTGATTTGCCACTTTCTATCTCCTTTTATTATCTTGGGTAAATCCCAGCAAACTGGACTTAAGGAATTTAGAAAGAGGTATGGCTTTAAGAATATTCCATCAACTGATGTGCATCAGCTGATGAACGGATACGTAAAATGCAATATATCCACACCATGGAATGTTGTTTGTCAATAAAAGACTTAACTACTGATAGGCTAGGACATGGAGGAACCTTGAAAACGTGATGCTAAGTGAAAGAGAAGACACAAAGGGCCACATTGCATGATTCCATTCTATGAACTGCTATAGGGACAGGAAGTAGTTCAGGGACGGCCTAGGGCTGGGGGCAGAGTGGCCTGGGGAGGGACCGCTGATGGGCACTGGGTTTCCTTTGGGCTACTGAAGATGTTCTAAACTGACCTTACGTCTCTGTGAATATACTTAAGGCATTGAATTGTGTACTTTAAATGTGTAGATTTTATGGTACGTGAATTATATCTCAATAAAGGTGATTTTTTTTTTTAATTGCTCTGGCTGCTTTGCCTGGGCACAGTTCAAACTCTTAGTAACAGAGTTACCTGTCATCTTATGATTTGCAGTGGAAGCAGGGAATGAAGGACAAACAAAATGTTAATATTGCATGAGCCTCCACAGAAAAGTTTATTTAGTGCAAAATCACAAATAATGAAGATACTGAAAGGCTAATGCAAACAGCAAGAATGTTTTTAACGCTTGGCTGAGTAACAGCTGTAACGGTTGGGCACACACGGAGTGTCTGCACTGGTGTGGGAGTTGGTTTTCAGCCTCATAAATACATCCCCAAATGCAACTGGCATTAGAAGAAATTAGGTTGGATTTAGGAAAGTACATAAATGATAGTACAAATTTTCTCAAAGAAAGACATTTAAGACAAATATTTTGTATCTGCTGCTCTTATTATAAAAAAGGAAAAAAAAAAGGAAGCTTTTCTCCCTTTCTCCATCCCTTCCTTCCTTCATTCCTTTCTTTTTTTTAATATTCCTGTCTATTTTTGCCAGGGATCTCTTTCTTCAAATGAAATCACACCCAGAACCCAGTATCTGAAACAATTAAAGGCAGAGCTGCGTTGGCGAAGGGGGTGGAAGGCTTGGAGCCCTGCCCGCTCGGCCTGCCCCTCCCCGTCCTTGGACAGGAGTGCCCCGAGGCCCCTCACCAGCACCCCTGGCCTCCATCAAGCACACGTTAGAAACCACTAGGGAGTGAGGTGTCTCCCAGATGTAAAGCACCTTCAGCAGGATGGGCTAGGACAGGTGGGGATGGGTGCCAAGTGTATGTTACAAACTCCAAGAGAGGAGAGAATGTTGGGGTGGTCATGAAAGACAACGGAGGATATTTAACTCTGAGCTCAGAACTTTGGCATAAGGCAGCGACCGAGGTAAAGGCGGAGACTGTAGGGCTGAGGCACACACAGATCACAGTTAGGGCACAAGCCCACCCAGATCCAAGGGTTCAGACTGGGGAGCGGGAGAAAATAAGTCTGATGGCCCCGACCGCTGTGGCTCAGTTGGTTGGACTTGGTTGGACCACAAAGAGAAAGGTCACCAGTTACCAGTCAGGGCACGTGCTTGGGTTATGGGGTGGTCCCTGGTTGGGGGTACATGTGAGAGGCAGCCAACCGATCTTTCTCTCCCTCTGTTTCAGAAGAGAGGGAGAGAAACATCAAAGTGTGAGAGCTGGCCATTGCCTCTTGCACGCTCCCAGCTGGGGACCTGGCCCGCAACCCAGGCATGCACTCTGACCGGGAATCGAACCAGTGACCTTTCAGTTCACAGGCTGGCACTCGGTCCACTGAGCCACACCAGCTAGTGCTAAGTAAAAAAAAAAAAAAAAAAAAAAATTTTTTTTTTAAAGAAAAGAAGTCTTACAAAGGTTGTCTGCTGCCTTGAATGCCAAATTTGGCCAGCATTCCCAAACAGACAAGGAACCCTAGTCCTGCAAAATGCCCCCAGGGAGAGTGGGGATGGGAAGGAAGGGGTCTTGGGCAATAAGAAACAATATACTCCCTCTCCTCTGGAAGGTCACAGTCCAGGATAACGTTAACTATTCTGAGAGGTGCTGCCGATGAAGTTTGTTCAACTTTGTTAACCCTTTATCTCCGTGATGAACGTGACCACAGAACATGTTGTCCTCTGTAATACCCATTAACATCCCTTAGAATTAGTATTTTATGGAACATACTTTAGGAAGTAATACATAGATTTCAAGGGAACCATTCTCGTATCGTATGAATGAATCAGATAGCTTACATTTGCCATCTTATGATTAACAGAGGATTTGGATTTCTGTTTAGTTTTCTTTTCATAGTTGTAATTTTAAGGTCCAAAAGTGCAAAGAAGGAACGGGACGTGTTGTGATGTGGCGGATGGGAATCCTGAACAGCTACACCATGGAGTCCACCTTCGGCGGGTCCACCCTGGGTGAGCTCCCTCCTGTGGATCGTAGGCCAGCATGGCCAGGGGAGCTGCGCAAAGCACTGGGGAGCGTGAAACCCTTTCAGCGCTGGGGAAACAATTGATCTATAGAATTTTCTTGTCTGTGCCTTATGCCAAATTTGATTACCCAAAATTTGAGTGTGAAATATAATATTTGATAGAGCAATATGGCATAGTGGTTGCTAAGGACCTGGAATCGGGCAGATCTGGGCTTGAATTTCATCTCCGTTTACAACTTGTATGGTCCTGGGTAAGTGACTTAACTCTTTGAACCTCATTTTTCTTTAACTGTCAACAGAGCACCTGCGTTATAGGCACTGCTTAATGAGATAGTGCATGTAAAGCAGTTGGCATAGTGCCTACCACAAGGTAGAACTTTATCATCATTGTAAATTCTTCATAGCTTCATAATTATAGCCTTTATGATTGTAAGCTTTTTTCATTGTCAAAGATTCTTCTGAATCAGACTAAAACTAGAATCAAAGGTAGTGTTTTTAAGGAGAAATTCATAAATTAGATTTGCAGTTGCTCATTAAGATCTAATAAGAAATGTTTATGGATTTTTGCCAGGCAATAAAAGAGACACTCATTTTACTACTGAGGATCTGAAGTCCCTTGGTTATCACGTCTGTGACACCCTGCTGGATTTCTGTGATCCTGACCGAACCAAGGTAAAAATGGAGTTTCCACAAATGGCAGTGCCCTGGCTGGTGTGGCTCAGTTGGTTGGAGCGTCATCCCGCGGACCCTAAGGTCACGGGTTTGATTTCTGGTCAGTTAAAAAAAAGAAAGAGAGAAAGAAACCAAGGAAGAAATGTGCTGATGCTGCTACTGTGATCAGTTTCCCATGGGTCCAAAGTCAGCTCAGTGGGATTTCAGGTGAACTTTATTTCTTCTTAATATTTTTCTGAAGTCTTTATAATGAACGAAAATAAGAAAGGCCCAGCCTGCCCTCTCCCAGCAAGTGGTAAGACCTCCCTTCACCAAGAAGACAGAGGCCATGGTGCCCGTTGCTGCAGCTCTCCTCTCCCCCACTTCTAGGCATTCCCACAGCAGCCCCACCCTCCCTTCCCTACCTCCTGTTTCAGAAAGTCAGCTGTCGTTTCTCTTCTCCAGAACCAACCCTGCCCTTTGGGCATTCGCTGACCTCCCCTACGGCCTCCCTGAGGTCTTGCCTCATTAGCAACCTCCCCTCTTCTGTGTCCTCGGTTTTTTTCCCCTTCCTTCTTCCCCTCACCTGCAGAGTTCTCAGGCTGCTTCCATCCTAAGTCACAGAAGTTTCCTTTGGCCTTGTTTCCTCTGCAGGTTATTTCTATTTTCCTACATCGCTCAGCTTCTTAAGAAAAGGAGTCTGTTCTCATGGTCTCTAATTCATCTCTCTATCCCCTCCAAAATTTCAGCGCTGGGGACACGTGATAGGCACCCCTATGGGTGCAACTGTTTAATAAAAAATATTTAAAGGAGAATTTGACCACAACATGACCTGTTAATTCGTCTTTGCAGTAGGCCAAAATCTGAACAACACTGTTCTAACTTTTCCTTCCTCACGACTCAAAAATGAATTAGTGAATGAATAAGTAAATCTGACCTTTGCATTGTTTAAGTGCATTATTGGCTATAGCTAAGGAAAAGTGGCTAAAGCAGGGCTTATTGGTGTTCTGTCCTAAAAACACTTCTCTGTGTTCCCACAGCTCACATAGTTCATCTGTTTACATGTTTACATGTCCTTAGTAACAGACATTACAACTTACTCTCCTTATGTCCTCAGCAGTCAAGTGCCTTTTAGCTTGCACTTAGTATTTGATGAATAAATAAATAAATAATAAAAATAGTTCTTTTTTTACTTCCGCAGTTCATGCAGTGTCTAGCAGAGCTTAAAGAGCTCTTACAACAGGAAATCCATAAGAAATTCAATAAACTTGGACAAGATGTGGATTTAGAAGGAAGTTGGAATGACATCTCTTTGTCTGACATTGAATCCAGGTAACAAACTTCATTTCAAAGAAAAACCAGAAAAGTTTTATTATTTTAAATGTTTTGTTGGTTTCGAACCTCAGGTGCAAAATATTAGTAAATCATGGCACACATAAATGCACTTCATTCCTTTGACAACTATGTATTGATCGCCTGTTCTTTGACACCCTTCTAGGCAGTAGAAGGGGCTGGGGAGATGGGCAGACAGTTGGTATAGTGCCTTGTAGGCAGTTATAAAAGCTTTTCTGTTTTATCCCATGGGAGATGGAAAGCCTCTGGGAGATTTTAAGCAGAGGAGTGTCATGATCTGCCCAGGTTTTAGTTTTGGTAGCAATACTCTGGCTGCCAGCTGGAAACAGATTGTAAAGAAAGCACATCAAAGCTGGGATACACTTCAGGAGGCTCTTTCCATGACACACGCGCAAGGTGAAAGTGGCCTAGACCAGAGGAGTAGTGGCTGGTGATGTGTGAATTGGTTGGGTTTGAGGTATATTTGGAAGTTTGAAACATTAGGATTTGCTTATGGATTGGACACTGGGCACAAGAGAAAGAGAATGACTCCATAGTTGGCTGGAAGGAGTTGCCTTTAACTGAGATGAAGAAAGGTCAGCAAGTTAGTGAAGACCAGGAATCTAGAGTTGGGCATGTTCAGTTTGACATGTCTGTTAGACATCTAAATAGAGATACTGAGTAGGCAGTTGGCTGTATGAGTCTGGAATTCAGTGGAGAGGCCTAACAGAGACATCACTGGATGGATACTTTAATTTTAAGACTGGATGAGATCCCAATGGAGTAAGTGCAGATAGAGTAAAGAAGAGTTCTAAGTCTGAGCTGGTACCACAGCTTTTTTTTTTTCAAGATTTTGTTTATTTGTTCTTTAGAGGGAGGGGAAGGAATGGAGGAAGGGAGGGAGAAAGAGAGAGAGAGAAATATCGACGTGAGAAACACCGATCCCATGCGCCCCAATGGGAACCAGGCCAGCAACCCAGGCATGTGCCCTAATTGGGAATCAAACCAATGACCTTGTGCCTTGCAGGGACCATGCCCAACCAATGGAGCCACACAGGCCAGGACTGGTACCATAGCTTTAAAAGGTCAAAGGGATAGGGAGGAGCCAACAAATAAGACCAAGAAGGGATGAACCAGGCTAAAAAAAAGCTCTAGAGAGTGATTATTTATAAAACAAAGCAGCCCTGGCTGGTGTGCTCCAATGGATTGAGCTCTAGCCTGCAAATCAAGAGGTCGCTTATTCAATTCCTGGTCAGGGCACATGGCCTGGTTGTGGGCCAGGTTCCTGGTTAGGGGTATGCGAGAGGCAACTGATTGATGTTTGTCTCACACATTGATGTTTCTCTCCTCCTCTTTCTCCCTCCCTTCCCTTCTCTCCAAAAGTAAATAAAAATAAAATCTTTTAAAAAATCAAATCATACCATTTCTCTATTCAACATCATTCTTCTGTTTAAAACACCTTAATGGCTCCCCCAGTTCACTCAGATGAAAAGTCAAGAACCTACAACGAATGGCCTACAAGGCTTTAGGATCCAGCCACCTGATACCTCCATGGCCTCTGCGCACCCCTCACACTCGCTACAGCCACACCGGCCTCCTCACTCTTCCTCACACTTGCCAGGCCCTCCTCTGCGCGAGGACCTTGGCACTGGCAGTTCCTGGAAAACTCTCCCCGCAGGTGCCTGCATGGCCAACTCCTTCACCTCCCGCACATCTTTGCTTTAGGGTCAACGTTTTCAGTGCGGCTTCCTTCATCACTCTGATACCGCTGCAACGTGCTCCCCTGCCTTCGCCTTCCTGCCCTGCCCTGTCCCCCTTTAGGTGCTCTGATTTTTTTTCTATAGCATTTTATCACCTCAGTCATTCTGTGCCATTTACAACTTGATTGCATCTTTTACTTATTGTCTTTCTTTTCCTACAAGGATGTAGTTTCCACAAGATCAGAGATCTTTATTTTGTTCACCTTTATATCTCAGGCATCTGCAGCAGTACCTGGCACACAGGGAGAGCTCAGTGAATATTTGTCGAATTAATTTAGTGGGTAGGATCTCAGCCCCACCCTCACAGTCTTCGGAGCTATTTGGAAAGCCCCCAGGTCGGCAGGTACCTCCCCCGTGTGCAAGAACACCTTCTACTCCAGCTTCCCCGCTGGGAAGGAGCCTCAAGCCTGAGCCCGATGCCCTCAGCCAGAGGTTTCCGGGCAGGGCTTGGAGGCCCTCTTCTGCCAGGAGCCGTGCTGTGGTCTGGGGTGGACGGTGGGCTGCGAATGACTCTCCCACACACTCTCTGCGGCACATTGACCTCTGCACCCTACAGCAGTTCTGTGGGCTGAGGCCACCGGATGTCTCCTTAAACCAGATGATCAGCCCAGGCCAAGCGCCCCATTCACCGTGCCTCCTCCTCCCTTCTCCCAGAACCTGTTGCCCACTCCCCAGGACCAGTGCACCGACAACCCCTCCTCACTTTCACCCTCAAAAACAAAGCATCGCCTGCTATGAACACCCACAAAAGACCCCTGGGGGAGCCAACCCAGAAGCAGCCAGATGGCACTCTCTCTCGCGGGGCGCAGCAGGGACGCTCCGACACACCAAGTTAAAAACCACCGAACCAGTTTGCCAGCTTCTGCCCTGAGAAGCTGGCCCTCAGGAGCCCCCGCAGGCGCCACCTTTCTGTTCACGCTGTGACGCAGGGAGGCAGAGGGAGCAGACAAGCCCAGCCAGAGTCTGCCCTGTCTGTGTGTGCACGTACCATTTGCAGCATTTTCTGGGGCATCCTGCATCTAATGCTTTTATCTCATTTGTTAACATTCTCTCTTATCTCTGAAAGCAACTTCAGAGATGATTATCCAGTGGCCTCAAAAACTCTTCCTTAGACTGGAAAAGCCTTGTGCGAACGGGGAACTGGGACTTAGATGCGAGGAGAGAGGGCTTTCTTTCCTCTGTCTTAATGGGGGGGCTCCTCACTGTGCCCCGGCGCCGGGAGCGGGGGCTGGGGGAGTGGAGGAGCATGAACAGAATGAAAGAGCTGAGCAGAAGAATGGTTTGGAATACTGCCTTTCCCCAGATCGGAGTTTTGTGCCTAAGACTTTTTTTGTATATGGAGAGCGTGTCCTAGAGCACAGCTCTCAGGTCTAGCCAGCCACGCCCCAGGAATGGGGAAAATATAACGTGACACATGACAGAGGAAGAAAGAATCGATTCTCTGAGACCTCATTTATCCTGGCCCTTGAAGGAAAGGGGGCGGGCACGGTCGGTGGAGGGAGACTTTAGATCAGTCTAGACGTGCATCCAAAACTTTTTGTTTTTCCTTTTAGCATTTAAAGTGAAAGTGAGTTCATTAACAAAGCAGTGAGACAGCGGGCTATTCCACCACAGGTCAAGCGGCCCATCCAAAACTTTTGAAGGGAGAATTAGGGTAATAAAAGTAACATTTCTAGTGTCCGACCTGTAGATGCTTTGTATTAAATATATTTATTTATATATTGAACACATTATTTTAAACAGCACCTAGTAGGAACTCTGAGCTGGTACTAGCCCGACAGGAATGAATGAGACAGAGCCCCTGCTTTCAAACAAATCACAGTGCCCTGGTGATCTCCAGGCTGTGCGTTCAGAATCCTGCAGCTTCTCACAGTCGCTGCCAAGGGGGGCTTTGCCCACCTGACGGGTTGGTAGAGGTTTTTTGTTTGTTTGCTTGTTTTGCCCCACGGATTGCAAGATCTTTGGGGCAGGGACTCTGTCTGCTATGTCCGTCTGTTTCCTGTGCCTAACGCCCTACCTGGCATGCAGTAGGCACTCTGAATGAATGAATGAATGAATGAATGTGCTTATCAAGGATTCTTAGGAACTGAAACGCAGACAGTGCAGGCAAACAGCAGACTGGATACCCTAACCCTGGGCAGCCGGTCTGGTAAATGGCAGACCTCCAGACATTAATAACAGGTATTTGCCTTTCTTCTCTTCTTTCGGAAACAGCACCAGTGGTTCTGACAGTTCGTTCTCAGATGGCCTCCCTGTTCACCTCCTGAACATAGCAGATGAGGTGAGATTAGATAGAGTCTTGTACCCAGGGAGTAGCAGCTTTAAAAAACTGTGACAAACTGGATAATTTGGTAGAATTTTCCAGAGATCTGCAGAAAATAGAGCAGTAATATCTTAACTGGTTACAAAGTCTTTCACTTGGTCCTTTATAACTTTTGTTTTAAAAGTCTAGGGGGAAAAAAATGTGAGGACTCCATATTTATTCCAAAGTTAAATAAAAAGTGAAAAAAGTTTAACTAAAAGTGAAAACCCCTTCAAGAGATTAGACGTTGTTAAAAATGACTCATGCTTGTTTGCCAGAAGGAGAATGATTGGGGGACTGGGCAAAAAAGGTGAAGATCTTAAGACGTACAGATGGGTAGTTACAGAGTAGTCACGGGGCTGTACAGGACGGCACAGGGAACAGTCAAAAATGATATTGAAGTAACTGCGAAAGTGCCAGGTGGGTACTTGAAATATCAGGAGGACCACTTTGTAAAATAAATGATTGTCTATCCACTATGCTATACACCTGAAACTAATACAAAATAATATTGAACGTAAACTGTAATTAAAAATTTGAGTTAAAGGCCTTGGCTGGTGTGGCTCCGTGGACTGAGCGCCGGCCTGGGAACCAAAGGGCCACCCTGTGCCAGTCAGGGCACAGGCCTGGGTTGTGGGCCAGGTGCCCAGCAGGGGGCGCGTGAGAGGAAATCACACATTGATGTTTCTCACCCTCTCTTCCTCTCTCTCTAAAAATAAATAAATAACATTTTTTAAATTTAAGTTAAAGGTCTTTTATTTTAAAAAATGAGCCTTTTTTTAAGAACATTTCTTTATTCATGTAGTCTTAATTTTTTATACTTTCATATAAGTAACTCTGTTGCCTCACCTGTTCACACTTTCTTTGACATAGATGGTATATAAGGTGATATTTAGCAACAACACAGTATTCCTTGTGGTTTATTGTGCACATGCTTTCCTAGTTGCATTAAGAAATACCTCAGTTGTAGGGTGAGATTACAGAGGTCAGGAGGAGCCAGCCAAATTAGACTGGATCCTACAATTTCTTCAGCTGGGTTTACAGCAACATCAGATTAAGCTTTACCACACCATAGGTACCTAGAAAATTAGTCCTGAGCTTCATTTGCCTAATTATTAAAGCCACCTTGTAGTGACAACTAAATTGAATCTTTTAACTACACATCTAATAATCAGTGTTGTTTGTACCTTATTGCCATAAGTAATCTTTGTTTTTTTAAGATATTATTTATTTATTTTTAGACAGAGGGGAAGGGAAGGAGAAAGAGGGTGAGAAACATCAATGTGTGGTTGCCTCTCACATGCCCCCCGCCACTGGGGACCTGACCCACAACCCAGGCACGTGCCCTGACTGGGAATCAAACTGGCAACCCTTTGGTTTGCAGGCCGGCGCTCAACCCACTGAGCAACACCAGCCAGGGCTGGTTTCATGTTTTAAATCACAGGTATTTGGTTACTGGTAGAGGAACCCCTTTGGCAGTATATGTATAACACTGGGATTTGGGAGGTGTTAAATGGGGAGCAGCCACTGGTACGGAGGTAAAACCGAACTGTTTGTTCTTCAAACCAGCAACAGTTGAACACTGGGAGGGCGCACACTGGGTTGGCCATTGTGTCTTGAGTGCTGTGTGAAGAGAGTCCTCTGGGATCCTCAGTGACTAGTTTCTCTGTACTTTCTGGAATAGTTGAATCAGAAGAAGAAGACGTATAAGAAGAAAAAAAAGAAGCCACCTCAGACAAGGAGACAGCGAAATGAACAGTATCAGAAAAATAATTTGATTCAGGAGTTAAAGCCAACAGAAGATGCCCTAGTAAGGAAGCTGTGCTGCCTACGCCCGCTGTCTGGTGAAAGAGCCTTCTGTGGACAGCAGGATGGGGGTGGTTCGGGTTCACTCGAAACCAGAAAGGGAATTGGGGGGCATCTTTCGATCTTGAGCTCAGGGCTCGTTCACGGGTCCGCTGGACGTCTCTGAGCAGCTCTCAGCCTTGGCCCACTGATCTTCTATGCTCTGGAATAGCAAGCCTGGGTTTTGAGCAAGTCTGGATTTCCAGAGGGAAGCGGTGGAACGGGCTGGACAAGCAGTGGCTGGAGCTAGTCCAGGGTTGCTGGGTGCTGAGGGGTCAGGCCTGGTCCAGGCTCAAGAGGCCTGGATAGCTCCTTTCTAGGCTCCCTCCTAGCAGCCGCACCCCCATCGTACCCTGTGGTTTCTAACGCTGAAATTGCTTTCAGGGGTGGGAGTTTAATGTTGGGTGAATTGGGTCCATTATGAGTAAACTAATTACAATGGATCAATTGAAAACCATTCTCTCTGCTCTCAATCTTTAGGAAAGGGCAGGATTTGCTTCTAGGGGGCAAAAGCAGTCTACCTTTTTCAAAAATTCAGAGAATACCAGTTCTTCAACAATAAAAAATGAAGAACCAAGGCTGAATGAGGTAATGTATTTGCTTGGCTGTTTAAACACACTCATGGAAAATTCATTAAAACTTTTTTGTAACATATTTAAAGTATACAGTGTGATGATTTGATATGTGTATACATTATAAAAGGATTCCCACCACTGGGTTAATTAACATATCGCTCATCTCACATAGGTACCTTTTTTTCTTTTGGTGAGAACACCTTCAGTTCTGCTCATAGTAAATCTCAATTATGCAATACAGTACTATTAGCTGCAGTCAGCATGTTATACATTAGGTCCTCAGGCCTTGGCTTATAACTGACAGTTTGTACTCTTCTGCCTTCCTCCCCCTTTTTGCCCCACCTCCCAGCCCCTGGCAATCACGATTCTACTCTCTGTTTCGATGAGTTTGACTTTTTTAGGTTCCACATTATAAGTGATACCATGTAGTATTTGTCTTTCTATGTCTGATTTATTTCACTTAATATAACGTCCTCCAAGTTTATCTATGTTGTCGTGGATGACAGAATTTCCTTCTTTTTTTATGGCTAAATAACATATTGTTTGCAAATACTTTCTCCCGTTCAGTAGGTTGCCTTTTCATTTTGTTGTTGATTTTCTTTGCTGCGCAGAAGCATTTTAGTTTGATGTAGTCTGACTTGTTTATCTTTTGTTGCCTCTGCTTTTTGTGTCAAATCAAAAAAAAATCATTGCCAGGAGCTATGTCAAGGAGTTTTATAGTTTCAAGTTTTAAATATAGGTTTTTCATCCATTTTGAGTTGAATTTTGTGAATGATATAAGGTAGGGGCACAGTTTCATTCTTTTGCATGTGGGTATCTCGTTTTTCCAATATCATTTACTGAAGAAACTATCTTTTCCTCATTGCATACTCTTGGCTTCTTTGTTGAAAGTTGAATGGCCATTCATGCATGAGTTTAACCCTCGGCTCCATGTTCGGTTCATCCTTGACCCTCCATCACACAGGTTCTCCGATTTTTCCAATCAGCATGCCTCTCCCACGGGGGGAAGAACACACTAGCCCTCTATGCCACCCTTACCTGTCAGTGCCGCTGTGAGCGAGGGTCCACTAAAATGGGTGGCAAGACTGGCTCTGCTTTGAATTAGATACTGCGGAAGCCTGACATCAAATATCGGTGATTCATGATTTTATACCCAGAACATAAGAGCAGGCTGCTTTACCATCCACCCATCCATTTATGGAACAGATAGTATTGTGCAACTACTATATGCCAGGCCCTCCACTGGATGTTGGGACTGCGACGTCGGACAACACACCATCCCTGCCTCAGGGACCTCAGAGCCTGGGCTGGGGATTTCAACTCGCAAACAGCAAAGGACATAACAGAATTGGATGCAGGGAATGCAGAGGAGAAGCACCTAATCAACTTTTAGTACTTTGGAGTTTTGCGGCTATAAAATCCTTGATTCTTTTATGTATAAAAATAGGTCTTGGTACAGCAGCTATAAAATCCTTGATTCTTTTATGTATAAAAATAGGTCTTGGTACAACAGTAGCTAATTCTTAGTGGAGAGGCGGTAAAATTGGCCCCCCTCAGGCGGAAGGCCACCCTGTGGATAACTGTGATATAACGAGGCCCCACTGCGTCAACTGAGGAACGCTCACACAGCACAGCCATCTCTGTCCGGTATCGCGGGACATTGGTGCCTGGTCTAATAGTGACCCGGACACAAGCTTTGAGGTCTGTCTTGAGTTAAAATGCCACCCCTACTATGTAATTTTCCATGAGCTACTTAGCCACCTCGGGACTGTGTTTCTGCATCTAAAATACTGGGGAAATAATATCAACATCATAAGGTTGGTAGACATTCAGTAAATATTAGTTTCCTTCTTTTCTTTGAATTATTATTTATTTGTGTTATGCCTCTCTTTTTGTGGTAGAGTATCATAATGAGTAAAAATACTCAAATAATGTATATTCTATATAATCACACTTGTCCAAGTGGAAATTTTAATGAGACTGTGTTCATTTATTTTAGTCACAGTTAAATGGAAGAGACAAAGGCGTCTTCCTGGACCCATCAGAAGCAACCGCCTTGATTCTGACTAAGAATAAAGAAAGACTGCAGGTATTTCACATTCTGAGAAATACACACACACACACACACAGTGATTTACTTTATTTGTGGGGGGAGGGCGGGCTTGGGATTAGAAGCAGCAGCAGGAGAGCCTGGGCGGGGCCCGCTCTGCGGAGACGCGCGGGCGGCGCCGAGGGAAGCCAGCCCGAGCCCGGAGGGGCTGCTGCCCGCTCACCGGGAGGTCGGAGAAGAGGGGCCTGGAGACACGGTCAGGAGCCCTCCTGCCGCTGCTCCCCTGGTTGCCAGCCCCGTGGCGGCCCCAGAGTTGTTTTTTAAAGTACACGCCAGAGAGAAAGGTGCAGGCACACTGAGCACGTCCTTTGTTTGGTTTGGAAACTTATTATGTGATTTCGAGGGTGGTGATCCACAGTCCACAGTCTCACCTTCTCAGGTTTGTTCCACTCGGGTGAACACCCAAAGTAACTTGCTCGCTTGGGCCACAAACCGCCTGACCACCCGAGGCACAGCTCGCAAGGAACTGAAGGGTGCGAAAGCCCACCCAGCTGTGAGGTGCCTCATGGGCAGTGGTACAGTGATTGTTCAACACTGAGCTTCGTGTGTGGTTTGCTTTCTTAGAAGAGCAGGTGGGCATGAATTCATATTTATCCCTGTAACATCGCTCTTGCTCCTTGGTACTTGCATATTCTTCCCTTAAAAGGAGGAAATAGAGGTGGACACCCAGCGAGGGAGCTGTTGCTTCAGACAGCGCCGGTGCCTCTGTGGGAGGGTGGAGGCTGCTGCTCCCATGAGTCCGGGCAGAGACGAAAACCCTGCCTCGCGCAGGTGTGGGGGGAAACCATGGTTCTCCCAAGGTGAAGTCCCTGCTGTCTTCTCCAATCTGTTGCTTGAAAATTGTCAGGCTGATGTTCTTCTTTGCCCAGCAGTATCTTATGGCGAAACTACCAGGCACGGGGCCCTTTGAGAACAGTAAGATGTAGTGCGTCCCTCAGGCAATGACCCTCTGCAAAGCGGTGGCAGGTAGTCCACCCACTTGGCATAACAGAAGCTGAAGGGCAACGGAAAGAGAGGTCTAAGTCAAGTCAGATCAGAGAGGGCTTCTCTCCTGGCAGACCAATAAGGGATGAACTTGTCCTCTTTCCTCATTCAGCACGTATTACAAGAAGTCTATGGGGGGCTAAAACCATATCCCACAACGGAAACATGCTAGTTAAGCTGTAACATGTAACTAGGGGTCCAATTAAACCCAATGTACTAGATCAGTGCCACCTAAACCTGTGCCTTTACTTCCTTTTCCTAAAGTTCCTAGTGTCATATTTCTCTAACAGAGATGTAGGCATTTTACTTCCAGACAGCTTATTAAAACACAGTCCCTGAACTTCTCAGAGCAATTAAAATATCGCCCACGGACCGGTGGCACTCTGAGGGACCTGGGCGCATGCTTGACTCACCTCTGCCTTGGAACAACCACTTTGGTATTTGGGGGGGAAAGCAAATACTTCTCACTGACTCCTTGTAAAACCACCCAACTCCTTACTATAGCTTTAGAAATGGCAACATAAAGTGAGCTCAACTTTTATATCTTGTTTGCACAGAGAGAAAAGCCTGGATTTACAGTCTCATGCTCTCCAAAGAGAAGCCCAAACACCAGCCAAGAGCCCGCTCCAGATACGACGCCCAAGTGGCCCAAGAACAGGTTTCTTGCCGCAAAGAGAGGCCGCGCCACGATGGCGGCGTACCCGTCCTTGCACATATACACGTACCCGTAGGGCGCCTGGGCCGTGCCACACGGGCGCTCCCTTGGCATGGTTTGGGTTAGATGCGTTGTGTGATGAGGGGAGTTGTATGGCTGGTAACTACTCTCGTTTGTGGTATAACTGTGTTGTGTGTTCATGTGCACTGACCTTCCACTGTGTGCTCACACTGTGTGCACGTCTTCACGATGCATACCTCAGGAACTAAATTATTTTTCACAAAATGGAGTTTCATTATGATGCATAAGAGAAGCTTTATCAGAAGTCGAACGTGTGCCCATGGAACTACAGCACAGATAGATCTCATTTTAAGCAATAGATACTCTGTAAAATTATGTGCAAATCAATTTTAAAAGACCAAACTCTGTTTTAAACATACTTTGGGAGTGTGCTGTGTTAAAAATGTCTGTGTCCAAGCTTCCCAGGGAGGCGGGGTCAGCCAGGCTGTGGAACCCTGCGCTTGCTCAGGGGAGGTGTTCCCACATACAGAAAACGGCTCATGTATTACCCGGGGTTTAATGTTGCATGTATTGTGTTCAACACGGTTATGTGAGTTTTTAAACCCATTGAGTAAAATTCTTTCCCTCTAACCATTTGTTTCCATTGATTGGGTAACTGCGCAATCTTATGTGAACAGGCACTTTATATCCCTCACCAGCGCCACCTGCTGTCCACAGCCTGTCCTGTCAGCCTGCTAGTCTCCTTATAAGAGGCGTCCCTCCAGGTGGTGCCAGGCCTCCTGTTTGACTACCTTCTTCCTAATGTTCTTCATTATCACATTTAAACTCTTTCAGCCACCTCCGCGACCCAGGTGACTAGTGATTAGAACCATATGGTAATGCAGATTTTATTACAATCCCAGTATGTGTCTTTTTTTTAATTACTAGAGTTCATTTGGAGAACAGTTTTAGATTTACAGATAATTGAGCAGGTAGTACAGAGTTCCCCCGTAACTGCTTGCCTCCCCACCCAACCACCACTCACACAGACTGTGCAAGTCTGGGGGGTTTTTTTGTATTTTTTTCTACTTTGTCCCTTAGATCCCTTCGCCCCCACAATCACCACACTGTTGTCTGTGTCCACGAGTCCTTTTTCCTTTTTGCTCAGTCCCTCCATCCCCTAACCTCCCCTGCTTAGCTGTCACCCTGCTCTCTATCTATGAGTCTGTCTCTCTTTTCCTTGTTAGTTCAGCTTGGTCATTAGGTTCCACATAAGAGTGAAATCATGTGGTACTTGTCTGTCTCTGTCTGGCTTATTTCACTGAGCATAATAATCTCCAGGTCCATCCATACTGTCACAAAGGGTAAAATTTTCTTCTTTTTTACTGCCGAGTAGAACACCGCTGTGTAAATGTCCCGTAGTTGTTTTAGCCACTCATCTATTAATGAACACTTGGGCTGCTTCCGTATCTTGGTGATTGTAAATAATGCTACAGTGAACATAGATGTGCTTATGTTCTTTCAAGTTAGTGTTTTGGGATTCCTTTGGATATATTCCCAGAAGTGGGATCACTGGGTCAAAAGGCAGATCCATTTTTAAATTTTTGAGTTAACTCCACACTGCTTTCTACAGTGGCTGCACCCGTCTACATTCCCACCAAAAGCACAAAAGGGGTCCCCTTTCTCCACATCCTTGCCAGCACTTGTTTGTTGATTTATTGATGATGGCTATTCTGACAGGTGTGAGATATCTCATTGTGGTTTTAATTTGCGTTTCTCTGATGATTAGTGACATTGAGCATCTTTTCATATGTCTATTGGCCATCTGTATGTCCTCTTAGGAGAAGTGTCTATTCGGGTCCTTTGCCCGTTTTTTAATTTAGTTGTTTGTTTCTTTGGTGTTGAGTTTTGTAAGTTCTTTATAAATTTTGGTATTAATCCCTTATCAGATGCATAGGTGAATATGTCCTCCTATTTTTTGCGTTGTCTTCTTATTTTGTTGCTATTTTCCTCTGCTGTGCAAAAACTTTTTAGTTTGATGTAGTCCCATTTGTTTATTTATTTCTTTTGTGTCCCTTGCCTGGGAAGATATATCCGATAAAATATTGCTATGAATGATTTCCAAGGTTTTGCTGCTTATGTTTTCTTCTATGATTTTTATGGTTTCAGGTCTAACATGTAAATTTTTAGTCCACTTTGAATTTATCTTTGTGTGTAGTCTAAGAAGGTGATCTAGTTTCATTTTTCTGCACATATCTGACCAATTTTCCCTACACCATTTATTGAATAAACTATCTTTAGCCCATTGTGTATATGCTTGCTTCCTCTGTTAAATATTACTATAAAGGTGTGGATTTATTTCTGGACTCTATATTCTGTTCCATTGATCTATGTGTCTTTTTTTTATGCCAGTACCATGCTCTGTGTGTGTGTGTGTGTCTGTTTAAGATTTTATTTATTTACTTAGAGAGAGGGGAAGGGAGGAAGAATGAGACATACACCGATAGGTTGCCTCTCACAAGCCCGCAATTGGGGACCTGGCCCACAGCCAGGCACATGACCTGACTGGGAATCAAACCAGTGACCTTTCAGTTTTCAGGCCGGCACTCAGTCCACTGACCCACACGAGCTAGGGCAAGTACCATGCTGTTTTGATTACTATGGCTTTATAGTATAGTTTTATGTTAATTGACATGATCCCTCCAACTTTGTTCTTTCTCAGGATCACTGTTGCTATGCGGGGCCTTTTGTGGTTCCATATAAATTTTTGAAATATTTGTTCTAGTTCTACAAAATATATCATTAGAATCTTGATAGAAATTGCATGGACTCTATAGTATTGCTTTGGGTAGTATGGACATTTTAATGATGTTAATTCTTCCTATCCATGTATACAGTGTGTTCTTCCACTTCTATGTGTCTTCTTCAATTTCTTTCTTCTGTGTCTTATAATTTTCTGTGTGCAGGTCTTTTACGTCCTTGGATAGGTTTATGCCGAGGTGTTTTATGTTTTGAAGCAACTGTGAATTGGACTGCTTTCTTAATTTCCCTTTCTGTTAGTTATTGGCATATAAAAATGAACTGATTTCTGGATATTAATTGTGTGTCCTGCTACTTTACTGAATTCATTTATCAGTTCTAGCATTTTCTTAGTGGAATCTTTGGGGTTCTCTAGCTAGGTACAGTATCATGGCATCTGCAAAGAAAGACAGTTTTACTTCTTCCATTCTTCTTCCAAAGGCCTTCGGACGCCTTTTATTTCTTCTTGTCTGATTGCTCTGGCTAGGGCTTCCAGAACTATGTTAAATGAGTAAGGTGAAAGTGGACATCTCTGTCTTGTTCCTGATCTTAAGGTGAACGCTTGTAGTTTTTGCCCATTGAGTATGATGCTGGCAGTGGGTTTGTCATATGTGGCCTTTATTATGTTTAGGTACGTTCCCTCTAATCCCACTTTGCTGAGAGTTTTTATCATAAATGTATGATGGATTTTATGAAATGCTTTTTCTGCACCTATTGATATTTTCATGTGGTTATTATCCTTAATTTGTTTATGTAGTGAGTCACATTTATTGATTTGTGAATGTTGTACCAACCTTGCATTCCCATAATAAATCCCACTTGATCATGGTGTATGATCTTTTTGATGGATTGCTGTATTCAGTTTGCTAATATTTTGTTGAGGATTTTAGCATCTATGTTCATCAAGGATATTGGCCTATAATTTCCTTTCTCTGTAGTGTCTTTATCAGTTTTGGAATTAGGATAATGCTGGCCTCATAAAATGAGTTTGGGAGACTTTCCTCCTCTTGAATTTTCTGAAATAGTTTGAGAAGGAGAGGTGTTAATTCTTCTTGGAATGTTTGGTAGAATTCACCTGTATAGCCATCCAGTCCAGGGCTTATGTTTGCTGGGAGTTTTTTGTTCGTTTGTTTGTTTGTTTTTAATAGAGAATGAAGTTTTTATTCACTCTCTAAGACAGGAGAAGATCATGGTATGGAGAGACATACCAGCCTTTTTGGGAGTTTTTTGATTACTACTTCAATTTCACTAGATGTAACCTGTCTGTTCAGATTCTCTGATTTTTCCTGATTTAGTTTTGGAAGGTTGTATGTTTCTAGGAACTTACCCATTTCATCCAGGTTGTACAGTTTGTTGGCATATAGTTGTTCATATTTTCTTACAATCCTTTGTATTTCTTTGGTGTCAGTTGTTATTTCTCCTCTTTCATTTCTGATTTTATCTATTTGAGTCCTCTCTCTTTTTTTCTTGATGAGTCTCATTAAAGGTTTGTCAGTCTTGTTTATCTTTTCAAAGAATCAGCTCTTGGATTCATTGATGTTTTGTATCATTTTTTAGACTCTATTTCATTTATTTCTGCTCTGATCTTCATTAATTCCTTCCTTATACTCACTCTGGGCTTTGTTTGTTGTTCTTTTTCAAGACCCTTTAAGTGTAAAGTTAGATTGTTTATTTGAGCTTTTTCTTGTTCTTTGAGATAGGCTTGTAATACTGTGAGTTTCCCTTTTAGGATTGCTTTGCCTGTGTCCCCATATTTTGGATTGCTGTGCGCTCATTTTCATTTGTTTCAAGGTGTCTTTTGATTTCTTCCTTGATCTCGTTGTCGACCCATTCATTGTTTAACAACATGTTATTTAGCTTCCATGTCATTGTGTGTTTTCCAATGTTCTTGTGATTGATTTCTAGTTTCATAGCATTGTGTTCAGAGATGTTTGATTTGATTTCAATCTTCTTAAATTTATTGAGACATAAATTTTAAAAAATAAATAAATTATTTTAAAAGTACAAGTCACAAAACAGTTACACACTGCTGAGGGAAAACTTTGAAAGTTGTTCAGAAATACTTGTTGCTCCAAATGCTTTTGGAGAAAGTTTATTAAAAGCACCCAAGTATGATGATGATTTTGGAATAAAAAAAATCAGAATACATGATCAGATTCTTTTTTAAGTGTTTTTTGAGAGCACGGAGTGTCCTGAGAGATGTGGTTGGGATGCTAAGACATTGAAGGGGCAAAAGGAGAGAATCCTATGTGATCCAGGCATGGCCTCCATGCCCAG